AACAAAATTGCTTAAGTGTAAAGAGCAATCGCACATTATCACTAGATCATCAATTAAATTCAACATAAGGCACCCGTGAAGAAGTTTAACCCCATCCGTACGCCCTGGGGTCATTTTGCACCCCCCGGGGTTGTATTCTTCACATTTTAGAATACTTCTAGTGCGAAGATCTCTTTGAAACTTTCAGTATTTCTCAAAAAATCATTTTGACAGACTGCTATGCAAAGCGTACGTGTCGGATTAATGAGTAAATTTCCTCTTTGGAAAGTGGTGGCAAAGAGTTCCCCACGGTCGTATGGATACGATAGTAAAACACGACGTAAGGATAGGGTTAAGTGGTGGCACAGAGTTCCCCACGGTCGTATGGATACGATAGTAAAACACGACGTAAGGATAGGGTTAAGTGGTGGCACAGAGTTCCCCACGGTCGTATGGATACGATAGTAAAACACGACGTACGGATAGAGTTAAGTGGTGGCCCAGAGTTCCCCACTTTGTATGGATACGATAGTAAAACACGACGTAAGGATAGGGTTAAGTGGTGGCACAGAGTTCCCCACGGTCGTATGGATACGATAGTAAAACACGACGTACGGATAGAGTTAAGTGGTGGCCCAGAGTTCCCCACTTCGTATGGATACGATAGTAAAACACGACGTAAGGATAGGGTTAAGTGGTGGCACAGAGTTCCCCACGGTCGTATGGATACGATAGTAAAACACGACGTACGGATAGAGTTAAGTGGTGGCCCAGAGTTCCCCACGTCGTATGGATACGATAGTAAAACACGACGTATGGATAGGGTTAAGTGGTGGCACAGAGTTCCCCACGTCGTATGGATACGATAGTAAAACACGACGTAAGGATAGGGTTAAGTGGTGGCACAGAGTTCCTCACGTCGTATGGATACGATAGTAAAACACGACGTAAGGATAGGGTTAAGCAGTCAATATATTATGCTTATTCCTTCCCAGTCGGACATCTATCGTCCTAATTGCCCCTCCTTTTCTTGGTATGTTTCTCACCAGAAACACTTTTAATCCTTGGCATTTACACGGCCTATTAGCGTTGAAAATGTCAACACATTCCAACTAAAACTATAGACAAAATAATAATGATAATAATAAATGACATTTATATAGCGCTCAATCCCGATTAAAGTACACAGGCTCTGAGCGCTTTACAATACAGTACAACGTACAACAGTAACATAAAACGTTGAGTTCTGAATATAAAGAAAATCACTCTAAATATTCATCTTATTAATTTAAAATCAGAAACGACTTCAGCTGACATTTGAATGAATCAAAAGATTTGATCTCTTAAAGTAAATTTCCTACCAACTGAAAATATTAGGTGTGTCCTGCGCGCTCATATGACCTTGTGCAGTTGCGAGCGCCGTAAAACACTTTACAAAAACAAACCAACAAACAAGACACAAATACATAGATGAGTACCTACTCCCCCTCCCCCTTAAACAAACCTACAGCCGAAAAAAAACAAAAAAACAAAACAAAAACAAAAACCAAAAACCAAAAAGAATATCTATGAACAAAAGAGCTGCATGCACTGATACATTTGACAAGATAACGTTTCCCTTTCAGCATTCTTTAGAATGGCTTTATATTTCTGTAAGTATAGTTCATGCCAGGGTATGGTTAGCCTATACTTTGTCAGCCAGTTCTTGATTCTTTCAACACTAACTTTGAAATACCCTATATAAAATCTCTCATTATCTAGTGTATATAATCCAATAAAAATACATTCATGTATCGTCCTATACTCTGAAAATTTCAACACACTCTATGGAACATTACAGCAACTGCAGCAAACCCGCACTTATCACTACATGGCATTGGACAGAAGGGCGAGAGCCCAGCTGTTGCTGGATCAATAACAACAACAACAACAACAACAACTCTGAAAATTCTATATATCTCAAAGAATAATAATATTGTAAAGCGAACAGACTATGCTGCAAAACATGGATATATGCATTATACAGATGCAATGATTTATTTATTAACCCTATCCGTTCACCCTGGGGTCATTTTGTACCCCAGGGGTTGTATTCTTCACATTTTAGAATACTTTTAGTACACTGATCTCTTTGAAACTTTCAGCATTTCTCAAAAAATTATTTTGACCAACTGCTATGCAAAGGATACGGATCGGATTAACGTGTAAATTTCCTCTTTGGAAAGTGGTGGCACAGAGTTCCCAACATCGTATGGATATGATAGTAAAACACGACCTACGGATAGGGTTAAGTGGTGGCACAGAGTTCCCCACGTCGTATGGATATGATAGTAAAACACGACGTTCGGATAGGGTTAATGTATCCTATACTCTGAAAATTCTGTATCTCAAAGAATAATAATATTGTAAAGAACACAGAGCATGCTGCATGCAGAACATGGATAAGCATTACACAAATGCAATTATCATGAATTTATTATTTAATTACATGTATTTCTGTCCCTTTTCGCCAAGTGAAAACTCCAGCATCCCATCAACCACCCCAGCATAATGATAAAGACTTTCACCCGAAACTGAAACACCACATCGCCTTTCTCTATCAACACAACACATGATTGTTGAAACTTCTTCAATACTCCATTTTTCTAAGCTCAAGGTAGACGACGACACATGATTCTTTGGAATCTGTAAACGATTAAAAAAAAGGAAGTGGATATCCTGCCGTAGAAAAATCGGAAGTGATAATTCCACGGCACATAAATTCAGCCAATCAGAACATCCGGACTATTTATAATTAAGCCTATAATCTCTTTCCATAAGTAACGCATTATTATACTATAGATACAATTTAAGAAACCTGTATGTTTAGTTTACAATGTTTATCCTTTGCTATCATTTTGTGCATTATGGACAATGATGAAATGTTTTGTGTGATTGTAACGAGAGTGAGAGATGCACAATTTATTTTGTGCAAGCAAAATGGAGAGAAGAGAGTTGTTTTTTTCCAACAGTAGGGTGCCCATTTGTGGATGGGGTCGGGTCGGGTCGGGTAGGTATGATCACCCGACTCGTCGCCTGGAAAACAAACACAATTCTTGCATTGATACACTTCAAGCAGAGCCTATGCCGTCGAAATATCAATTCCGATCTTTAGACTCAAGACGGCATACCGTATAGGTATCACTTCCGATGTTCAGACAGCATGCCGTGGAAATATCGCTACCCTAAAAAAAACCCCCAACCCAAAACAAAGTGAACTAAGCACATGTACATTTCTTCCCTAAGTCAAACCGCTACTGTAAGTACGGAAATCAACCTTTTCAACATAACAAAGCATTCAAAATGTGGGATTTGCATTTCAACATTCATCTAAAAAGGCAGAGCTAAATGGGTAACGAGCGGCAAAATCACCTCAAACAACTTTAGTATTATTAGAATACCCTGACTGCAAATACACGGTATACGTGTAAATACCGCATAGAGAGGAGCTGGCAGTAAATACACGGTATACGTGTAAATATACCGTGTATTTCCCCATACCCGTTAGAATACCCTGTTGGGGAAAGGATCTCCAAAAGGGCTGCACATACATGAATCGCGGTTGTCCAAAACTCAATAAGTCAAGTTTGACAAGTGTCTGATTTCACCACGATGCCTCACACGTTTATAATATAAACATGACCCATTTATGTATTATTACGTGCACATGAGTATATAATGATTTAGATTTTAATACAAAGCACAGCTGATTAAAAACCTGTAAATTCTTTGCCATATCGACAGACCGAAGGGCTAGAACCCAAATGGCCGCTGGATCGGAAAAGTAAAGTAAAGTTAGATTTTAACAATGCTAGAGTCCGGGATACGGAACTTTCAGCAGTGAGCAGTGAAAATGGCTGTTTCAGACTACATATGTGAGGCAGCGTGGTGGAATCAGGCGATTGTCAAAAATAATCAAAGTGAAGAAACTTGCATTTTTCCGCAGGTTTGTGAATTTTTATCAAATTTTCGTATTTTGGCTGAACACCTTTCATGCCCATTAAAGAACTCATTTCTGTGTGGATTTTTCTGAAAAACGATTAAATTCACAAAAAATGTACATTTTCAGTTACCACGGACTCTTAATCTAAAGAAATAACTATTCTTTGGTGGCCATTTTCTCATTAATTTTACCTCTAAAAACAGGTGACCCTCACCTCCTTTATTTGCAAATATCTCGACTTGTATTCAAGATAAATGAATATTTTTTTCATCCAAATAAAGACAAGTGAACAAGCTTTAGGATGATACCAATAACTCTACATGCTTCAAAATTGACGAGACCCTGATTCCACCACGCTGCCTCACATATTATGTGTGTGGCGTTGTGGTGAAACCAGGCGTTTGTCAAAATCGACTTATTGAGTTTTGGAAAAACCGCTCTTCACATGTAGGCTTACTTCAGTCTGGCTGAGGAACCAGCATGTCTTGACCTACGTGTTGACCTTGACATTCTATATATATATATATATATATCAAAAGCCTGTCCGGTAGAATGGATTTATTCATTCTCACAGCGGGCACACACATACAAAGTTCTTTTGAAAATCCTGGGTAAACTGTAAATTCTTTACCATATCGACAGACCGAAGGGCTAGAACCCAAATGGTCGCTGGATCGGAAAAGTAAAGTAAAGTAAGTAAAAGCGTGAGTGGGTCTCAGCTTTTCTCATAGAGCACAGTGCTGCCAAATTTGAATTATACAAAAATATAAAACATGAATATTTTGGATTTGGTTTTTCCTGAAGGGGAAAAAAATCTGGAACTCGGGAGATATTCTGATACAGTTCATCCCTGATCAGTGGCGTCGCGTGGTTTGCAGACAAGGTGGTGCATAATTGGAAAGTGAGCAAATGGGCAATTGGCTTACTTATTATTAAGATTTCTAGAGAAATGTTGCATGTTTGTTCTAACTGTTGTCTTGAGGAGTAGAGGCAGTTAGATGTGTGGGGTAGCTTGGGAAGAAAACATCCCCTAAAATCAGTTAGTTTTCTACAGAAAAACAGATGATGTTCCACTGTCTCTGAGGGATAGTCACATAGTGGGCAGGCAGCAGACTCATGAGTGGGCTATACAGGAAAATACAAGCATATTCACAGACAACATTGTCAATTCTCGTCTTCTTTTTCTTCCTCGTTCTCAAACATTGTCAGTGACAACTACCTACGAAAAAGTAAAATAACAAAACTCATATAAAAAGATAAACAAAACCAGAATTTTCCCAAACTCAGGATTAGATTAATTTGTCATAAGAAAATTCCATCACTCGAGGCCCTCAGCATAAGACACAATATCATCCATGTTCGAGGAGGAAATGTTGTCCCACACAGCCAAGTCTGCCACTCTGCCCGGAGAGTTGGCGTCTGCCACTGACAGCTGAGACGACCAAGACGACATAGAAGGCGACAGCGAGACGCCAGTTCCACTTCTGGCCCTGGCGCCACTAACATTTTGGCTCAAACTGTCATAATTCTGGCTCGACTCTGCCCAACCATTCTCTAGTCCTTCGTCTAATGCTTTGTCTAAAGTGTGCTCATCAAACACGCTGCCACTTCTGTTCTCAGAACCCGACAATCTCGACCTGGCTCGAGGGGGGGGCCTCAGCCTCAGTTCTGGTGCGGCTTGCATTTTGTGGAGCGACACAACTTTGTCGTGAGCCAAAACCAGCGAGGATATGACGCCAGGAGCTGAGGTAGTGCCAGAGTGGCTCATCTCCACGTTACTGACGGAACTTGGCGACCTCCCCCTTTGGATCGCTTCCTCCGGCTTGTATCGGTGTCTCAGGAGAGCGCATGGACACGGCATAAGCTGACAGACGTTGTCAGCGAGACTCAGCACACATACGCTGCCGGATTCTGTTCCCAGTAAGAGAGTGTCTTTAGAGACGAGTAAACTGGTGATGGAGCAGTCCTGCTCTTTGTTGTTTTTCTTCCTTGGAATGAGAGGCGGCGGCCTCACCACAGTGAGAAGGCCAGGCACACTCCTTGACCGTTGCTTTGAATCATCATTGAGAGAAGCCGGGACCTCTAGAGAGGCATTATTAGGAGTCTGTTTTATCGCTGACCGTCTTCGAAGCTGTGTCCTTGGAGGAATGGGAGGTGGACCTTCTCTACTCGGATCCAGACCCTGAATCAAAATTGGCCCGTCACTTTCAAGATGATAAACCTCATGATAGTGCTCATTCTCTTCTTCCTTAATACATCTATTGGACTGACAGCCATCTGACAGATTTCTGTTTTCCCTATCATGGGACGGCACACAAGCATCTCGTGGTAAAGATCGACTTTTCCCTGCAGTACTGACAATCTCAGATTCGCGACTAGTCAACCCGCCACATTCAGACACAGAGGAGCTATCGTGTTCTTTGAAAACATTATCTTCCATGGTGTCCCACAATCTAGACTTAGGGAGAAGGCCTCTCTCGTCACTGACGGATGAAGCCTGGCGTGTTTTCTCAGTTGCCAGGGCTAACGTAGCTTTATCGTCTTTGGGGTCCCACAATAGCTTGTAGGAGCCGACAACTCCTAAGTGTTCCAGATTTAGCTCAAACAGCACAGAACTGTCTTTGAAGCTACACCAAAGTCTTCCGCGGCCATCACACACCAGATGAGCAATTGTCAACGAAGAATACGGAGGAGGAGTGAGATCGACAGAACGAGTCACTTGAAACTCTGGTGGGTTGCATTTATCGTCTTCCGGTCGAATCAGAATATCTAAGACGGTCACTCTTTTCCCACAGGCGACGGCAAGCACAGAGTCGCTGACAGAACACATAGAGGTGATGGAGATACCCTTCTGTACCTCCACCGTTTCAATCGTGGTGACAGACTTCTTCAGAAAGTTGCAGATAGTATGGACGTTCCCGTCCACTAGGCCCACAAAAACGATGTTCATATGTCCCTAAGGAAAAAGAAATTCATAAGTTTGTATTATTATAATAATCCAAAATTACATTTCTATAACGCACATCCATGCTCTCCAGCAAGCTCTATGCACTTCACAGCTATCATTACCCCAGCAAACCCCCGAACCTGTCCCCGTGGTTTTGTGCACCCCACATAATTTAACAAAGTTTGATCATTTTTTGCATAATTTCTGATTATTTTCCTTCATCATTCTTTGTTAAAATTAACAGAATCGCACAATTTCACATTTTTGGGCTCAGTTTGCATAATTTCATAATTTTTTTTTTCGTAAAACCGTGGGGATAGCCCTGAACGAATCAAAACATTCCCAGCTTCCCTGGATGCGTACAGTACAAGAAACTGATCAAGCACTCAAACATCGAACAAACTGACGCAAGTTTTCCTTGTCTATAGCCATTCTATAGCATTCCCATCGGGGTGAAGAGACGGAAAATTTATGTAATGTGCCTTTCCCAAGGGCACAGGGTAATGGATTGACCCCATGACCTTTCGAGACAAAATTAGAAACACCGTAATCAGAGAAAAGGTGGGCACAAATGATGGAGAATCAAAGGGTTTGGACGTCTCATGCGATTACCAACACACCATCCAGCACAACGTGCCTACATAAAAAAATTCGATGGCAACAAGGCTAGAGGGCGACCGAGAAAGACCTGGATAGATGGAGTCAGGGAAACATTAACCACCCACGGCATCCCCCTGACCCAAGCTCTCCGGCTGGCGACAGAGAGACGTCTCTTTCTTCCCGCAACACCCAAAAGGGTATAAGCGGTGGATAAAAGTAAAGAAAAAGTAAAGACCTTTCGGTTGCAAGCCCAGCAGCCTATTAAAACTCAGCAAAGATAGTACATAACAAGATGGGCCACTCAGCCAAAAAAGTGTCCGCCGGAAGTCCGCTCTTTGCTTCAGATGGCGCTGCAGTCTGTTTTGAAGCTCTCTTTCGTTTTTCCAAAAGAAGAATAGGAATAGCACCTCCTTGCGTGCGCAGATCGACTGCTGTTCATTAGCAGTTTGGGTTCGTTCAGTGCGGAGTTTTAGAGGGATTTAAAAATTTTAATGACCTCTCGCCTTTCATTCTAAAGTCAAATTGCACGAAGAAAACAATCACCCCTTCCTCCGGAACAGGTTTTTTGTCAGCGTAACCATTTCAAAAAAGCGTTCTTCCGAAATTTATCCAAAAACTTGGTAGTTTCACCTTGATTTTTTAAACTCAAGTAGGTTAACTCTGTTCGCAAAAGGTGCACGTTTGCGAAGAGGGCGCCACCGAATTTTGAGGACACTTTTTTAATTGGCTCAAAGAGAGGAGTGGCCCCTCTTGTTATGTAGACTCTTTGAACTCAGTCAAAGGAACGCACACAGTGGACTTCAATGAAAAATACTCAGAGAGGAATTCCCTCTCTCTTTTTCTCTTTCCCTCATTTTCTCGTTTTTCCTTATCAAACAAAGCTTCACTTTGACAAAAATTTGCTAATTCGCTAAAATATTTATACCATTGTGAGGACTGGCAAGGCATCCCACAACCACTGTCAATATCACTATTAGCCTTAGATTTCTCAAAGATAGTCAATTACCAGTACACTGTGGCAAATTATTCTTCGGTTTTAATAAGTTTTTGTTTTAGTAAGAGTTTTACGGCGCTCGCAACTGCATAATATGGTCATATTATTATGAGCGTGCGAAAAAAGGTTGGTTCTGTTCACAACAGTACAGAACCAACCTTTTATCGCACACTCATACGACCTTATGCAGTTGCGACCACCGTTTTAGTACCGGGTAAGTTTCCTTCCCGTAAGCCAATCAGAATCTATCACATCAAAAAGAATGCAAGGGAAAATCCACTAGAAAAAGTTGATTGACTGTCGCCTCGGAACTATTGTGAGGCAGCGTGGTAAAATCAGGCTCTCCTCAATTTTTGGACATGTAGTAATTGGTATCATCTTAAAGCTTGTTCGCATGTCTTTATTTTGATGAAAAAAATATGCATTTATCTTGAATACAAGTCGAGATATTTGCGAAAGAAGGAGGTGGAGTTGAGTCGTTTTCAGAGGTAAAATTAGTGAGAAAATGGCCACCGAAGATTAGTTATTTCCTTAGCTTAAGAGTCCGTGGTAACTGAAAATTTACATTTTTTGTGCCTTTAATCAAAGTTTTTCAGAAAAATCCACACAGAAATGAGTTCTTTAATGGGTTTGAAAGGTGTTGAGACAAAAAAAAATTTGATAAAAATTCACAAACTTGCGGAAAAAATGCAAGTTTCTTCACTTTGATTATTTTGACGAGAGCCTGATTCCACCGCGCTGCCTCACATATTGTCCAGAGTGTAGTCAACCCTTCCAGCCCCAGCCATTTGTGTGCACTCCCTAACCCTAGTCCCAGCCATTTGTGTGCACTCCCTAACCCCAGCCCCAGCCATTTGTGTGCACTCCCTAACCCCAGTCCCAGCCAATACAGCAGTATTTGGGAAAAAGAGGCATGCATTCTAAAATGTGATGTAGTATCTTTGTAATCAGGTTTGGATAATAACGTATAACAATGTTTAAAGGTAAATGAATAAATATAATGAAAATTAAAGTTCAATTAGGTTCGTTAATTTCGAAAAATGCGCAAATTCGGTACCCCCGAAACTGAGAATATACGCTCTTGGGACGGTGGGAGGTACAAGCACTGCTGAAAATGTATGCGCTTGGGGCTGGAAGGGTTAAGTAAAGAGGGAACTTTGGACAAAACAGTTCTAAGGCGACCAAATGTCATAAAAAAAAGCATTATCAAAAATGTTCCTTTTACCTTGGATGATTTGATCTTGTGAATGCCCGTTGGTTCAGATGGCAACTTGAAGTGTCCTTCCATTTCAAACTTGCTTTGAGGGCCTCTGACAATGACTTCGAGCATTATGGAATTCTGAAATACATATCACAGCAATATGTGTCACGACGCGGTGGAATCAGGCGCGTAAATTTAGGGGGCATTTTGAGTTATTGGTATCTTCTTAAAACCTGTCTATTTTCCTTGCTTTTGATGGAAGAAATATCCATTTATCTGGAATGTAAGTCAAGACATTGGCGATTGGAGGAAGTGGGGGTCGCCTGGTTTCAGAGGTAAAATAAGTGAGTAAATGACCGCATAAGTTGCATTACTTCCTTTGCTTGAGAGGCCGTGGAAACTGAAAATTTACATCTATTATGCCTTTAATCAACGTTTTTCAAAAAAATCCACACATAAATGTGTTCATTAATGGGCATGAAAGATGTTGAGCAAAAGAAAAAAAAATCGATAAAAATTCCCAAACCAACGGAAAAATGCCAGTTTCTTCACTTTAATTATTTTGACGATAGCCTGATTTCACCACGCTGCCTCACATATTGAGACAGTTCAGATCCTTTCAATGGAACGCAACAGTGGAAAAAAACAGCAGTTTCATTTAATGAGCAGTGTATATCGTCTTAGATGACGAGATTGAATTGTGGTCAGGCTACAAGACTCACAATTGTGAGGTGGTCGGTGGTCTAGTGGTTAGGCTACAGGACTCACAATTGTGAGGTTGTCGGTGGTCTAGTGGTTAGGCTACAGGACTCATAATTGTGAGGTTGTCAGTGGTCTAGTGGTTAGGCTACAGGACTCACAATTGTGAGGTTGTCGGTGGTCTAGTGGTTAGGCTACAGGACTCATAATTGTGAGGTTGTCGGTGGTCTAGTGGTTAGGCTACAGGACTCACAATTGTGAGGTTGTCGGTGGTCTAGTGGTTAGGCTACAGGACTCATAATTGTGAGGTTGTCGGTGGTCTAGTGGTTAGGCTACAGGACTCAAAATTGTGAGGTTGCGGGTTCAGGAGTTTGAGCTGCAGGCCCGACGTTGTGTCCTTGAGAAAGGTACTTTACACGAATTTTCCTCTCTTCACCCAAAGTTCAAATAGGTTTGGTCAGAACACAATTATAACTTTCAAATCCAGCCTAGTATTCTTAAATAGGGACAAAAACAATTTCCAGACTTGTATATTCCTGATGTGGCTTTCATTTTAATGCTTTGCTCTGTTCCTCAATTTAAATAATTTCCATCTCTAGACTTGACGGTCAGGCAAGCATTCCAGTATCGAAGCAGTACAGGTGCTCGCTCTCTTCCTATTGACATAGGGTCAACGTTCTCTAAGATGGTCCCTTTTATTTATTTAGTAGAGGTTTTATGGCGCTCGCAACTGCGTAAGATCATATGAGTCTATTTTGACTTTCAAGGCACCCTGGAAATAGCGGGTCACAAGAGTATGACAAACATACAAAAGAAGTAGAGGAAAAATGACGATAGTAAGGATTAGGAAGTTCCGAAAGAAAAAGCAGCAGTTCCCTGTTGTAGTTCAGGCACAGTTATGAGCATGGCATAGTTGAATCAGCCCATTTACAATTCTACTGTGCATAAGAACGAGAAATGTCCCCCCCCTTTGGGAATAGCCTAAAGACACTTCAGTGGTACTGCCCCCAGAGGGGGGGGGGGGGGGGGGAAAGGGCAGATGGTCACTAACTGTCAAGGGAAAAAGTGGTTGTCTTAAACAGGTGAACACCTTGGACAGAGTCATGACAATATTTTGTAACTTGCAAGGGAGAAAGAGGGAAGTGGTCATTTGTAAAGGTGATTGTCTTGAACAGGTTGCCGTAAGCGCAGGTCTGATAGTAAATCTTCTGATTTCCTTCTGGCCATTGTTCCACATTGCTTATCTAAGCTTGGAGTAGATGTCAGCATCTGGGAAGAAATAGCTGAGGACAGGAAAACATGGAGGAAAATGATAAAGGAAAGAACTATAATGCTCGAGAGCAGCCTTAGAAACAACCAGGCTGAGAAGCGCCAACGTCGAAAGGAAAACAGCGGAAATACAGAGCTTCGATCTACGTCACTGACATGCAAGCACTGCGACAGAATCTGCGCTTCAAACAGGAAGAATTAGCTATTTTTTGTTTTGTTTTTGTAAAGTGTTTTACGGCGCTCGCAACTGCATAAGGTCATATGAGCGCACGGGACACACCTAATATTTTCAGTTGGTAGGAAATTTTGAATTTCGCCCGGGTGGCGGCCGAAGCCTACTCTTATCGATTTTAGACCACCAAGGGATCTTTAACGTGTGCAACTTGCACACGGGCCTCCGAGATTTTTCGCCCTTGTCCGAGAAGGCTAGGTGTAGATATTTCCTACCAGAAGATCAGGGGTGTGGCAGAAAGACAGCAGTAAGGAGGAGCCAAGGAGTAGCAGTAGAAAGGCTGCAGAAAGAGTCAGGAGCCCAGAGGAGGGGGCAAAGGAGGTGAGGGGGGTGGGGGCAGAGAGTGGAATTGAAAGCAGACAACAGAACATTGCTAGAGAGCAGGAAAGGAGGTGAAAGGAGACAAATTTAGAGAAGAAAATTTTTCGGTCGCTACCCGGATTCGAACCGCGGACTTTTGAATGAATTAGCTATGAAGGAAGCTGAATGAAGACAGCCGTGAGACCATCTTAAGCTAAATCGACCGTCTGCACAGACAAAAAGAGCCCTATATTGTTCCACAGAAATCATAACGCCATTTTATTGCATTTAATACTGAGAGACTGTTTTCAAAATTCTTTCACCATAATTTGTCTTCACTTTAACTGATTCCGTCCATTCGGCAGCTGACAGCGGCTCTGAGTTTTTCCGCTGCCTCCATTCGGCCGCTGTGAGCGGCTCAACGAAATCCAAAACAAAGGTGCACTTTTTAACATAGTTCCTACTTTTTAAGTTGTCGAAAGGAAGTAGAACTTGTAAACAGACCTGACCTCAATCTCTGAGCGCCAATATCGATCGAAACTCCACGAAATTTTTGCAAAATTCGTTGTTTTGTTGTTGCGATGTAGGCTAGATCTAAGGGTAAACAACACGGAGCCTGGTATAAGAAAAAGGCTCTTCAAAGAAAGATATTTAACTAAATTTGTGAAATTCTTGCATAAATGTGTGCTAGGGTGATATTGCTACAATGTTGTGTTGATTCTTATGGATTATAAGGACTTGTAGAGCTGAGAAAATGCGGTAAGTCGAAATTTTCGAAGAGCTGTTGAGCAATTTTTTTTTCTCATTCGTTTTTGTCAGAAGGAAAATGTAATACAAACAGATTATAGGTCATTGTCATTGATAGAAACAGATTCTTCTATTTATTCCCATCAGTTTGATATATGACAATACATATTAGAGAACCTTAGAGCTTCACAGTAATGCATTAAATAAATGCACCCCAGATCTAAAACTGAGCAGGGAAAAATAGCTCTGTCCAGAGCCTGAAAAAATCATGGACGGAATCAGTTAATCTGTGCCTACGTCGTCTCTACAACGCTACAATGTTACCTACCTTGCAGGCTACCCAAATGTTCTGCTCAACTTTCACCATAGCAACGATGGCGGGACCTCTGAATTCTTGTCGCAGCACGGTGAAACAGGAAGACTCCATGTCGTAAACACTCAGATACCTTTTGTTACTGGACTGCACTGCCTCACAGATCCAAATGTTCCAGCGACCCATCGTCTGAAGTAAGTAAGTAAGTCAGTAAGTCAGTAAGTAAGTCAGTCCAGCCAGCCAGCCAGCCAGCCAGCCAGCCAGCCAGCCAGCCAGCCAGCCAGCAAGCCAGCAAGCAAGCAAGCAAGCAAGCAAGCAAGCAAGCAAGCAAGCAAGTAAGTAAGTAAGTAAGTAAGTAAGTAAGTTTCTTCAGTGTTCAAGGCCATTGGCTCACTTCACATCATATAACACACGCATTTGTTAATTGACAAAGAAAGTCGCTCACACAAGTAACTGACAGAGAAAGTCGCTCACACAAGTAACTGACAGAGAAAGTCGCTCACACAAGTAACTGACTGAGAAAGGTGCTCACACAAGAACAGAACATGAGACACACGTCACTGACTGACAGCCTCACCTCACAAGCATAGACACACGTGATCTCAAGAATCACACTCGCTGCCTCCATCCAGACCAGGTCGTGAAGAAGCAGAAACTGCGGCCGCTTCATCCTCTCCATGATCTCCGTGGCTCTCGGACGCTGGTCGGCTTTCAGGGCCCAGCAGGCACCCATCAGCTCCTCCATATACGGAAAGTTACAGTGAATTCTGCAGTTCTGAAAATCAAATCAAATTATAGGTATAAGTTTGTCAAATTTAAATGAAATTTCATTTTAAGTAGATTTTGAAATTTCATTTGAAATAAATTTTAAAAAATTCATATTAAGTAAATTTTAAAAATTTCATTTTAAGTAAAATTTTTTAAATTTCATTTAAAGTAAATTTTACAAATGCTCAATACATCTGAGCACTCTCTTAGTGAAAAAGAAGAAATGATGAAATCTATAGTTTGGCGCATTATATTAACCAATACAATAGAAACTAAAGTATATACACAATGACCAATCTAACTGATACACAATGACCAATCTAACTGATACACAATGACCAATCTAACTGATACACAATGACCAATCTAACTGATACACAATGACCAATCTAACTGATACACAATGACCAATCTAACTGATACACAATGACCAATCTAACTGATACACAATGACCAATCTAACTGATACACAATGACCAATCTAACTGACAAAAACTGAAAGAGAAACAAAATAGTCCAGAACCAGCAAAACAGGCTGGAAGTGGCGTCGGTGGCCTAGTGTGGCGTCGGTGGCCTAGTGTGGCGTCGGTGGCCTAGTGTGGCGTCGCTGGCCTAGTGTGGCCTCGGTGGCCTAGTGTGGCCTCGGTGGCCTAGTGTGGCCTCGGTGGCCTAGTGTGGCGTCGGTGGCCTAGTGTGGCGTCGCTGGCCTAGTGTGGCCTCGGTGGCCTAGTGTGGCCTCGGTGGCCTAGTGTGGCCTCGGTGGCCTAGTGTGGCGTCGGTGGCCTAGTGTGGCGTCGCTGGCCTAGTGTGGCGTCGGTGGCCTAGTGGTTAGGTTCTCGGACTCGCAACCGTAAGGTCGTGGGTTCGAATCCCGTTAGGGGCCCGACTTTGTGTCCTTCGGAAAGGCACTTTACACTAATTTTTCTCACTTCACCCAGGTGGGAATGGGGACCCAGCTATAGACAGTGTCTTGTCAGTTTGTTAGTGTTTGAGCGCTTAACAGCTGCTTGCACTGCATACTTCCTGGAAAGCTGAGAATGTTTCTGAGTGTTCTATGTTTTTTTGTTTTTGTAAAGTGTTTTACGACACTCGCAACTGCATAAGGTCATATGAGCGCGCAGGACACACCTAATATTTTCAGTCGGTAGGAAATTTTGAATTTTGCCCGGGTGGCGGCCGAAGCCTACTCTTATCGATTTTAGACCACCAAGGGATCTTTAACGTGCGCAACTTGCACACGGGCCCTCCGAGATTTTTCGCCCTTGTCCGAGAAGGCTAGGTGTAGATATTTCCTACCAGAAGATCAGGGGTGTGGCAGAAAGACAGCAGTAAGGAGGAGCCAAGGAGTAGCAGTAGAAAGGCTGCAGAAAGAGTCAGGAGCCCAGAGGAGGGGGTAAAGGAGGTGAGGGGGTGGGGGCAGAAAGTGGAAATGAAAGCAGACAACAGAACATTGCTAGAGAGCAGGAAAGGAGGTGAAAGGAGACAATTTTAGAGAAGAAAATTTTTCGGTCGCTACCCGGATTCGAACCCGGGACCTTTGAATGAGAGGCGAACACCTTAACCTCTAGGCCACAAGAGCCCCCTGAGTGTTCTATGGTCTGCTGGGAGTAATAATATATAGCGTAAAACGCATAGAGCCTGCTGTGGAGTGGGGATATGCGCTATACAAATGTGTCACGACGCAGTGGAATCAGGCGCTCGTCAATTTTGGGGCATGTGAAGTTACTGATATCATCTGAAAACTTATTCATTTGCCTTGCTTTCAATGAAAAAAATGTCCATCTACCTTGAATTGACGTCGAGATATTTGCGATTGAAGAAGGTGAGGTAGTCTGGTTTCAGTTGTTAAATTAATGAGAAAATGGCCACTAAAGTTTGGTAACTTTAATAGCTTAAGAATAAGAGGCCTTGAAAACTGAAAATTACATACTTTGTGCCTATAAAAAAGATTTTTCAGTAAAATTCACATGGAAATGTGTATTCATATGAACATAAAAGGTGTTTAGCCAAAAAACAAAATTTTGATAAAAACTGCCAAACTGATGGAAAAATGCCTTTTTCTTCGATTTCATTATTCTGACGAGCGCCTGATTTCACCACGATGCCTCACAAAAACTATTTTATCATTGTTGTGCATGAATGAGATTTGGCAGGTTGGTATCGGTTAAAACAAAATTACAATTTGGCAAATAAGTTAGTTTGCAGTTGCCTACAAGTATCTGGCATGTTGACGATGTCCATCATGTCGAAACCAGAATACAACGTGCAACTTGATGTCCTGTTCTACTTTGTGTGGTTTTGTGGAGGCAAGCTAGGTCTAGTATTTTTGTTGTAGAAAAGTTGAGCAAATTCAAATACTTGGGCAGCATTTTCACAGGAAAATTAGACAGAGAAAAAGAGACTAGAGGCCAGAAAGCCAGCGCAGTCAGCTATCAACTCGCCCCTCTCCTGAAACATCTCAATATCCCCCATGAGCACCAAGGCGAAGCTCATCAACGCCATTTTCCTTCCAACACTCACATATCAGTGCCAGACATGGACTCTAACAAAAGCCCTAGAGAGGAAACTGGTCACATGCGAGATGAAATGTTTAAGAAGAGCGAGTAACAAGACAAGAAGAGACAAAATAAAAAATGAAATCATAAGGGACACCGTGGGAGCAACACCAGTCCTACCACACATTGAAAAACAAAAAGTGAAGTGGTTCGGACACCTCACGCGGATGCCCTCAAACCATCCAGCTCTGGGAGCATAAAACACTAAATTTTCTGGATGGAGACCTAGAGGAAGACCAAGGCGACGCGTGGAACGAATCTGATGCAAACACTCTCAGAGCTCACGGGATGTCCCTCCTACAGGCCACTCACCTTGCTTCAGGCAGACGTTTGAGTCTCCCCGCGACACTCACCGGTACAAGCGGGAAAAAAAAGTAAAGTTGTAGAAAACACAACAACAAATTCATATTAACACTTTGCCATCACAAGGCACATTTAGTCAAAACTCTTGCCATCAAAGGCAAAGGCATTTTGGGGAAAATCCAAAGAAACTGCGTGGTAAACATGGCCGATCGGCGAGATGTGACGGCAAAATGTTAAATACCTTGATGTGGGTGGTTGGTGGGTGCTCTGGTGTGTTTGTTTCTTCTTTCCTATCACACAGCTAGTGTCTTTATCTCCCCTTCTTCTTTCTTATGTTTGTTACTCTCTTGTAACACCTTTAATCTTCTGGCGCTCATATGACCTTATGCAGTTGCGAGCGCCGTAAAACTCTTTCAAAAACTAAAAACGAAATACCTTGATATGAAGAGGGACAGACTCTTCCACTGTCAACAGGGCTGCCGACGTCCTTTTCACATTGGCAGCCGGAGGTATGCCCATCACGACTTCAATCATCACCATGGAAAACGAGAAGATGTCGATCTGAAAAAAATAATAAAATAAAAAATTACACTTTTACAGGTAGCATGCAGGGTTGAACTGGGGAAGGCTGTACTGTTAGGAAGTATGGGGGGGGGGGGGGGGGCTCCCCCGGGTAAAGTGGATTCATGGTATAGTGATGCCTCCACTCGCCGCGGGACAGTGAGTCGTCCAACAGGTCAACCCACAAGTCGTGCTACTTAGTATTTTCGATAAGCATTCCGGTTGAAAACAATCTGTGAGATAAAAGTATGCTATACAGGATATGTCCGACTAACATCAAACAAGTGCACACATATTAAGAAAAGATAAAACATACAGATGCAATCACAAAAACACTACCCCCATACAAGCAAAATTTGCATCTCTTTCTGTTCCCTCCTACCAACTCGTCTTGGCCCAGTAGGTTAGATACTAATACTAACAAAGTCACCACATTAGTATGAGACTTTGTGCAAACTTTCGGAACCTTCGGTGACACTGTAAAGATGACTCCACTAGGGAGCGGGACAAAGGGTGCCCACCTGGTGACTCGACAGAGCTGAGGAATGTAGGACTAACATGATCTAAACAATTAACTACTAACCAGTTGTGGCAGCCATCTCCAGTTGGGGGTATGACATCACTTAGATGTGAAACTCACCAAAAAAAAACGTCATAAGAGTGAAGAAACATATTTATTAATGTATTTATCTATATATGAAACATTTTCCTGAGTGTTTACTCTATGACTAACAGCTAATTTCAAAACCCAAAATGTAGAACACTTTGTTGTTATTACTAAACACAAAAGCGCCAGATGATAGAATTGGGCAGGGTCCAAAATAAAAATGAAAAAATCACACTTTTATTTGTCCCAGAAGGCACTTTGGTTTACAATGGCAAACATACATAGATACATACATACATAAAATAAATACATACATACATAAATATATTCACAAACACAAACATTAGTACATAATATAACACAAATAAAGAACAGTTTACAAACATGCCATTGTCGGTAGCCACTGTGCAGCGCCCTGTATTTTGAGCTAGGGAGACAAAATGAGTGACTTCTCCGATTCAAACCTTACGGAAATATTTACATCACCCTTATAGGTGAAGTTTTTACAATTTATATGTATGAATTAATAAAAGACAGGTTACAGTTAAAGAATATGGCATCCATAGAAAATCTACACATTTGACCCTAATGTCGATTTTTGGCCAATATCTTCTCCATTTGTGCATTGCGAGAAGTAACTTATTTTGTCAGCATGCCTCTATTCTTTGCCATATCGACAGACCGAAGGGCTAGAACCCAAATGGCCGCTGGATCGGAAAAGTAAAGTAAAAGTAAAGTAAGTCAGCATGCCTCATATATAATAGAAACATTTGCAGCTTCCTGGTAAACATTCAGAGTGAGCAGTCAGTTTAAAGCCATTTGAATACAAACGTACGGACAAAATCTTCCCCTGTCTTAAAGGTGTTGCTCCCACGGTGTCCCTTATGAATTCATCCCACCTGGGTGCAAGAAGTGAGAGAAATGGGTTGTCTTCCCCAAGAGTACAACATTAGGCCCTTTTTTAGTTTTAGTAAGAGTTTTATGGCACTTGCAACACAATACGGTCATATAAGTGCCGAAGATTAGAGGAGTTACAAGGGAGTAACAAACACAAAAAAAGAAGGAGGGGAGATAAAGGCGATAGATGTTTGATAGGAAAGAAGGAGCAAGCCACACCAGAGCACCGGCCAACCACCCACCATTAAGCCCTGACCAGAACTTAAACCCACAACCTTACAGACATGAGTCCAGCAGCCTAACCTCTAGACACTTTACTTTACTTTATTTTTCCGATCCAGCAGCCATTTGGGTTTTAGCCCTTCGGTCTGTCGATATGGCAAAGAATTGACAGGTTTTAATCAGCTGTGCTTTGTCGCTGTATAGAGGGTTTCCGATGTCTGGGGAGGCAGGTAGGTAGGTGCTACGCAGGTCACAAAGTGCTGGGCAGTTAAAGAAATAATAATAATGATAATAATAATAATAATTTATAATAATAAATGTGAGGAGTGCTGGCAAAATGAGTTACTAGTCACAATCAATAAATGGAGATATTGGCCGACAAATCGACACTCGGGTCAAACGTGTACATTTTCTATTGATGCCATATTCTTTAACTATAACTTGTCTTTTATTATTTCATACTTATAAATTGTACAAACTTCACCTATAAGCGGGATGTATCTAGTCCCATCAGGCTTGAATCCGAGAAGTTACTCATTTTGTCAGTTTGCTTCACAAATGACATTTATACAGTGCTCAACCGCGATTAAAGTACACAGGCCCTCTGAGCACTTAGACCAAAGGGCTCAAACTCAGACGGCTGTTGAAACGGAGACATTAATCTCCCTTATATTTCCCCTGCAACATCTTTGGGTTTTCAACCTGCAACGCAGCTGATTTTTATGAATGTGACAGTTTTTCCTACTTAAAAAGCTAGTGGCACTGTGAGTTGAAAAAACCAGCAATTGATAACCCCTAAGGACAGAAAAAATGAGGATGAAAAAACACAAGGTAACAAAGCCTTTTCATGATCACCATCACAATTACCATTACCATCACCATCATCATCATCACTATTACCATCACCATCATCATCATCATCATCATCACCATCACCATCATCATCATCACCATCATCACCATCATCATCATCACCGACTTAACAATTCCCCTTTTCCTTGTTTCGTTTTTCTAGAAAACACAACAATTTGCACCATGTCAATACATTTTCACCCAACCAACAAATAGGGCACCAAAATCAGGACACAGGACCCAAAACAACCCCAACGCCCCAGAGCCCTTACCTTGTTCGTGTACGTCTCTTTCATTGCCACTTCGGGAGCCATGTAGCCGACCGTGCCAAACAAGCCAGTAAGTCCCTGAACGGTGGCAAACTTGGAAATTCCGTAATCTGAGAGCTTGACGTTCACCGGAACATTCAGATCCATGGACATGACCAGTACGTTGTCTGGCTTCAGATCGCGATAAATGATGTCCTTCATATGGAGATATGAAAGTCCACTAGCCATCTGAGAAAAATTGTTAGTTTTAGTTTTAGTAAGGTTTTACGGCGCTCGCAACCACCCACACTCTCACTTCTTTCATTCACAAGCTACCCAGTAATAAACCAGGCAGATAAGAGCCAACACACACACACCAGCACACTAAACCACCTGCATAAGCATTGACATCTTCCTCCACCAACACTTGCAATGAATGGCAAGGGATCAAAATGTGTAAATTTATACCCAATTCTGTGAAATCGGCCATTGAAAAGTTATCTGTTGTTTTAGTAGAGGCTTTATGGCGCTCACAACAGCATAAGGTCATATGAGCGCCAAGGGATGGATGTCAACAGAGAAGTCCGTACAGGGAATCAGGCTTACTCTGCTTACCTCTCAAGCTTCAACAGCACAAAGTCTGCTTCGACTATCAAGGCACCCCGAAAATAGTGGGCCACAAGAGAGTGACAAACATACAAAAGAAGTAGAGGAAAATGACGATAGTAAGGATTAGGAAAGAAAAAGCAGCAGCTCCCTGATGTAGTTCAGGCACAGTTATGAGGCTCACACTGATGAATCAGCCCATTTACAATTCTACTGTGCATGAACGAGAAATGTCCCCCCTTTGGGAATGGCCTAAAGACACTTCAGTCAGTGGCACCGCCCCCCCCCCCCCCCCCCCCCCC